AAAATTCTTGATGATGAGAAAACTCATTTCAAATACATCCATTAATTACCTAATTGTTCTTTCCTAGAGTTTCATCTATAGACAAATATATATGCTTAATCCATATAATCCAGATTATTTAGTTGGTAAAGCTTCAATTTAAGTAGTCTAGGATTTGAAACCAATGCTATACCCCAACTAAATATCATCCTTCAATAAGACTATATTAATCAGAATGGAATAACAAATCTGACTTCACTCTTCCCCCTCTTTAAAGTGAAGCAATATTAAGATTGCCTGTGCCTCAATTAATAAGATTTAATGAATTTTAAGGGGCCAGCAAGGTGGCTCATGCCTGTGATCCCAGCACTTTGGGAGGCCAAGACAGGAGGACTGCTTGAAGCCAGGAGTTCAATCAAGACCAACCTGGGCAATATAACAAGACTATGTCTCTTAGGTAGAACATGGTCTGATCAAAAGCTTACAACCCAATGTTTGACTTCTGTGTCACCTTCACAAGACTCAATTTTCTTTCCCACATATCAAGATGAGTAGCAGGAAGTCACAGCCATAGAACTGAACCAAAATGGACTCTAAGCAATAGTATTACTGTTAAGTCAGAAAGTGAGACTAGAAAGAGCGACTGCTAGAGACGCTTTCAAAGTGCCTAGTCCAAAGACTTCAAACTTGTAAGACCACAAAAGGAAACACATTTTACGTCGTGACCCAGCATATACACAGGCACATATAAATTATCTCCTGCTATGGGATACTCATTCAGTGCTCTTTAAATAAAATGAAGAGTAGCTGTGTGAATCAGGGAAGCAGATATCAATGGGAAAAAAGGCCAGAAATCCTTTGTCTTAAATACAAGTGACCACGTTCCATTGTAGGAGGGGACCAGGAGTGTGAGCAATTCAAACCTCTTCCTATAACTTTTAGGTCTCAGGTACAGATTGGAGTCCAAAAAATAAGCCTCTGAGATCCTGACAACCCCGACAGTGTGTATGTTACTTTATCCAACCTCATTATGGAGCTAATGGATGATCACATGCCAAGTAGTCATATAAATGATTTCATAGGTGAAAAGGTTTATTTAAATGTAAAAGACATATTGGTGAAAAACACCTCATAGGAAAAAAAAATCGCCAAGAGTCACAGCAAGGTCTCGGGGCCAAGGTCTGCACCTAGGCCCTATAGGTTCTTTACTCTCTACCACTATACTTCAAATGGCTCCTCAAAATTCAGCAGGATTAGATGTTTTTTGAATTATCCAGTACCGCTGTCTCCAGTGGTACTGGATAATATCTGAGTGCAGCCTCAGATATATTACCCAACAGAGAGCATTCCCCCTTCCATGCATTTGATGGCATGTTGGTGCTGCATCCTTTGAGGATAAAAATATAGTAAACTTTGAACCACATTACACATCTCTAGGTATCCTTAATGTCACAGACCAGGAAAGGACATTTATTAAATAGAGCTATAAAACCCAAACTAATTACCAAGCAATTTCTGCAAACAACTATAGTTAAATAGGGTGACTTAAGGTTGAAAATTTGTATGATCATAATGCTGCCCTATCACTCTTTCTTGGCAACCCCACTTTTCACCTCAACACTCCCAAAACATGTCTAAACAAGTGACTTTTCTTCTTTCAAAACATTAAATTAAAAGCAATTTTGTTCTGATAATTTTTGCAGCAGCCCTCACACTAATGGTAGAATAAGAAACCAAGTGTTTTCCCAAAGATCATTAGTAAGTTTATTTTCCTTTTTCTAAATTTTTTTAACTATTCCAGTAAAATTTCATCTTTTTCGCTTAGCGTTAGATACACAATCTAGAGAAACCCACTGAACAAAGTAATAGAGAGTAAATGTAGTGAAAAATAAAATCCTCGACTGAAGCCATATTTACATTTTGGTAAAATTGGAAACCAACCAAGCTCACACTGAAACATTTCTCAGTTTTGTTTTGTTTCTCATGGAGGGATTACTGATTACTGGTGGGCTCTACTTCACCCACATTAGCCACATTCTGGCTGATTTCAGCAGTTGCTCCTGATTCAGCTCAAGCATGATGGGTGATAGATAATTTTTCATTTAGAAAGGGAGCTCTGTGAGAGGCTAAAGTCACGTAAAACAGAATTCCATGACCCAAATCTTCTAGAGGAAGGGCAAAGATATGTTTTCGAGGCTTTGAATTTAAAGCTTTACATCAGATTGGCAAATAAAAATTTAAATACCCTGAACTACATTTTAAGGAGGTCCACAATGCAGTTTTGCAAGACTTTGGAATATACTTTAAGGAAACTGACAGCCAACTAAAACGCATCTTGAAACGAATCTTCCTATATTCTTCATTAATATGAAACCCCTTTCCTATTAAAAATATATCTCAATTTGTTTCAGGTAGAAGATACACCAGTCAATATTTGGGGTGGTTTTCAAAGTTCTTTAAACACATTCTTAAGAGTAAACAATGATGGCTCCTTCTGCCTCTCCCCCCTTTTCTTTAATAGTTAGAATAAGAAAATGAGATCCCATCCTCACTGTAACCAGTACCTTAACTACTGTGATTGGACACATGAACTAGTGCGTCTCATTCATCATGTGACGTCAGTTTGACCTTTTATCGGGTCCACAACAAACAAGCCACTCACTCCCATGCAGGCAAATAGTTATGTCAATGTTGAGCGATGTCAGAGGCCTTGTTGTCAGGAACCTTTGCCCTTTTTCTCATAAAGAAAGCATTCTGGGCTTTAAAGGAAGTTTTGGTGAGATTTTTAGGTTAGCCTTTAAAAGTGTCAATTGTCCAAATCAATGCAGAACCCTGAATCACAACAACTTCCTCCTCAAATTCCCTCTCAGGAGAGTGCATATGGCTCCCATTTTGTGAAATCACCACATAAAATAAAGAGTTCTTAAGCAGCAAAAAGCACTGCTATACACAGACATTTAAATGGCACGTAAGTCAACAGCCATTCTAACCTAACAGAGAGAGTCCTAAGTGGGAGGACGCAGAATAAAACTTTACACTGGGCCTCACCAAGACTCAGGTCTGTCTGTGTCTTCATTTTGTCATTTCTATACCAACAATAAACAACTTGACTTTACTTTCCCATTTCTACTTCCAACTACTACTTAGGAATGGTGCACCAGTTAATTTGAAAATCTCTCCACAACATCCTATGACATTAGAAACTGTTATACACACACAAGTCATCATGAGTTAGAATTTTAGTTAGAAAACCATCTCAGTGATATTACTGTTTTATAGTTGTGAAATGATAATAATTTGGAGGATTCGAAGAGGGAAGATTAGTTTTCAATAATACCTTATCACTCCTAGACCTCTGTGAAAAAATAAAACAGCTTTGTGACAATAAATTCAGATATGTCAAGAAAAGATGCCACCCTGACTCTACTCCCTAGCAGAATTCCTATGTTGTAAACTATCACAATTCAACTATTCACACATGATAAAAATATTCTAAAGACGTGGACTCTGCCTGTATTAGGATTTCACAGATAACTCAAAAATGTTTTTTAAAAAAAATTCAGTGCAGAAAGAGGCCTGGGACTGGAAAAATAATGGAGATAAGAAGTTAACTTTCTTTTGCTGTAAAATCCAGCGTGTCAGGGGTTCATGGTTCCCAAGAAGAGTAGGCATAAAAATATCCACGGACTTGAAATGTCCTAGTCTCATCAAATTTAGATGATGGCTGGAGCATTGTAACTCATGGATTCTACATTCTTACTTTTAATTTGTCCCTCAGCATTTGCCTTAAACTATGATAAAGTTCAAATCTATTAAATTGTAAGGTTTATTTAAAAAAGGCAAACTCATTTCTTCAGAATGAAATACAAAAAATGAGAAGTTTTTTTCTTAATTTAAAGACGGGGGGAGAGAAGCTTGCAAATAAGATTTGAATAATAGATTAAAAGCAGCAGCAGTATGAAGACAGCATTTGAAGTCTAATGTCTCCTGTGCAGTATGATAGCTTTCATTCCCCACTTCTCACCTCAAGACATAGCTCATATTTTGGAATTTCAAATTTGTAAAAATAGAGAAAATAAAATAAATTATTACAATACGTTGCTGACAAGGACATACTGGCAAATAATCAGTAAAAATAAATTACCCCCAATTAAAGCCCTCATCCTCACTATTCAAGAAAGGGCAAATTGCAACAAAAATGAAGGGTCTACTTCACTTGCAAAAAAAAAAAAATCAAAGGATTGATAATACGTAGTGTAGACCAGGTAGCATCAGAAGGGCAACTGGCACTTTCTCTTTTTGAAGGCAATTTGGTTTTATCTACTAAAGTTTTTCATGTACTTGCCCTTTTTCCCCAGTATTCTTACTTCTAAGAATCTACCCTACATAAGTACTGGCATGCTTGCAGTCCTTGGCTCTACAAATGCCTCATACAAGCAACTGTCCAAGAAACGAAAATGAAATTATCTGTGAGTTTTTTCAATGACACCAAGACAAGAGGACTACCTGTGAGCGTGAAGGACACTGACTGCAAAATGGCTTGCAAATATACCCTCAAACTTTGGATTAATGCATACTAGTAAGGCATTATACTAGTTAATTCATGTGGGGAACCTAAATATTTAACATTATCAATTGATGAAGAAGAGTATATTTTAAGAAACGATATAGACTATAGTAATTATATGGCCAAATGCTGAAGGAATAAAATGATCCAAAAATATTACAGAGTTAAAGAAAGGCTGAATCAAGTGCACAAATGGTCACAGGAATGTCACAGGAGATCTGTGATATAAAAATATCCCTCCCCAACCACAAATTACTTCAGCAAGCTATTTAGCAGATTGAGAAAATAAACACAGAGAAACCACTTATGAGCAGTAACATTTTATAATAAACTATTCAAGGTAAGATTGATTACACCAATAGCATTTTAAGTCAGCCAAGAATAAAATTATCTAAAAGAATGCCTTTGAGTATAACTTCCTAGTATTCTCCTGACATCTTAAAATATAACTTACCTTCTTTTCACTTATCATTACAGTAATTGCAGGCCTTATCTGAAGATACAACAGAATGCAAAATAGATTAAGTGTAACACGGTTAGACAAGTTGAAAGCATTTCTGATGCTGCTTTATCTGCAAAGGATGGGTTTATAATCTTGTCAGAAAAGACAGACATATACATATCTCCATATGAAATGCTTGGCCCATGATAGTGCCTATCTAGCTACTACTACTCATCACATTATTTAACTCAGTATTTTTACCAATAACCTGGCACTAGTAAAATGATATCTACTCCTAGAAACAGCATTTTCAGTTAGTGGAATACAGTACAATCAACTGGTGAGATCGCATGTTAAATCTCGTAGGGTAAGCAGGAAAGTATCTTCCCATGTCCAATCTCGTCCCAGCGCTTCCTCCTGTCTCTCAGTATTGTGATTAACTTTAGTCTAGATGAGACTATAGATTTTACTAAGATCAAGATGCCGTGCAGAAGTAGTAAGGCATGACAATCATGGTTCAAGGCAAGCAAGTTATTACATTTGACTGAAATTCTTCCATGAAATGCTCTATAGAGTAGGTCGTCACAGGAAGAAGGGCTGCTGGTTTACAGGAAATAGGTGCTAGAGACCCAGAAAAATGAGAGCATCTCTTAGGGAAAGAACAGAAGAGGCTCTAAGCCAAAAAGGGGGAAAGAGAAGTGCTGAAGACTAAGAGCTTGAAGAATCCCCAAGGGTGGAGAGCAGGGGCAGAGATCCCAGAGACAGAACCTAAAGGGACAAGATGGTGGAGTCTGTGAGCTGTGAGCTAAGTGGCAAAACCGTATTGCTAGAATAACTGGCAGGCTGCTCACGATAGCCATGGATTGTATCAAGGTGTGTGTGTGTTGAGGACTAAGACTGCCTGCAGATGCACAGAAGGCGAGAGAGTAAGAGGCATTCACATTCCTGTTCAACAGCTTTTAACCGCCAACCAGTGAAGAACCCACATCTACAAGGAAATGTATGAGGTTAGAACCCTCTCCCTGCTGTGACCAGGTCTATAAGCAAATATCTCCAAAGGATGAGGCTAATCCATGTATAGGATTCTGCAGTTCACCCCCTTAATAATCCAAAAAGGGATTGGCTATGTTTCATATGAAGACATGTTTTTTATATATTTGGAGCATCATGTAAAACAGATAAAAACTTTTTTTTTTTTTTTGCTCTGGAGATACTGGCAATAATACGGTCATGTTTTCAAGAAATATTATTTCTACCAAAACATTAATAATCTATAAAAGTTAGTAACTCGTCACATGGGCTTGCACCAGGCTGTGACAACCTCCAGTACATGCGTTCCTAAATTGAAGTATCTGTGATTTCCTTAAAGACCCTAAGAGCTCAGGAAGCAAAAGGCTATTGAACCTGACCCAGTGGCATTAATTATACCTCCACGAGTGACAAGAGAATTGTGTAAGTCAAAAAGTAAAACCTGATAATCCTATAAAATACTGGCCATGAAGTAACAGGAGAATACAACCGCAGGGTAAGTAATTCAGGGCAAGAGAGATGATTTCCTGCCCAATCACTAACTTGGCTGAGGCAGGAACGTCAATGGTAAGAATTCCCTTCTCAGCCTTAAATTTATAATCACAATCACAACCACAACATCAAAGAAAACTAAATAGACTCCTTCAACATTTCAGACCCAAGGTAAAGCTCTACAAGGACTCCAAGATGTCAGGCACACTGCACTTTTTCTAAGTTTCTAAATTCAGTGTTACCTAGGAAAAAAGACACATCTAAACTAGTTAACATTATTGTATATGTTATACACAGGAAATACAAACACACAGAAAATATACACATATGTTTTCCCACAGAAAAAGGAGGCAGGACTTTTAAGAGCTTTCACTCCTAAACTGAGAGCAGTTTTAACCTCAGTCCTATGATCAAATCTATTCTCCACATATCGACAGCTTCAAGAAGACAGAAGTAGCAGCAAAGTTACAGTACCTGCCATTTGGAATGTAGTTTTATAATTACAGTCTTTAGATGCATTCAAATTCACAAACAAAACTCAGAAAGGCTTTATGAATCTCAAAGGGGATTAATGAAAATATGTGGCCAGAATACAAGTAAAGTGTAAAGCCGACAGTTATTTTCTGAACACTAGAAGTATGTAACATAGTTCACAGCACATAGTAAGTACTAAACAACAGTGGGGTTTTTTTAATGGTTTGTTAATTTTATTGATCTTTCAAATAAACTTTTGATTTTATTAGTTTTCTCTATTGTTTTCTCTTCTTAATTTCATTTGTCTCTACTCAAGTCTTTATTATTTCCCTTACTCTGCTACCTTTGGACTTTGTTGTTCTTTTTCTAGTGTATGATTGATTGATTGAATCAGGGTCTCACTGTGTTGCCCAGGCTGCAGTGCAGCGGCATGATCGTGGCTCATTGCAGCCTCAAACTCCCAGGCTCAGACATTTTTTCCACCTCAGTCCCCTTCCCCCAAGAAGCTGGGACTACAGGCGCACAACATCATGTCTGGCTCTTTTTTCTTTTTCTTTTTCTTTTACATTTTGTAAAGATAAGGTCTCGCTATGTTGCACAGGCTGGTCTCAATCTCCTGGCCTCAAGTGATTTCAGACATGAGCCACTGTGCCTAGCCTTGTTTTTGTTTTTGTTTTTTTAATTTATTTAAAAGATGACATATATTCTCAATAACCACAGATAATAAGTGCTAATATTTTTGTTTTGTATTTGCATTTGTTTCTGGTCTTGCCCACATTATATTATTTTTATTGTTTACCGATGACATTTAGGAAAGTCATCACTTCTTGAAAATTTGCAATCACTAATCATTTTGCCAATGATATCAATCTAACAATTTTACAGTTGATGCTACCAGGACTTCTAAGTATAAATTCATTATGTCTAAGTGGTGCTGAGTTTGCCGTCCTTTGTGAATAATTAGTTAATTCCATAAGAATTTCTAAAGTAATGCTAATAGTCATAATATTAAAAAGATATTAATTTATTAGTGCTCTTCCTATGAGCTAGAGTGTTAATTTAGATTAACATCTCTCGCTAGTCATCTTCAATGCTTTTTCCAATAAAGGATTCTTTAGGCACAAGGTGAGAGTAGTGGTGAAACCTGTCATAGTGCTAGAAAGAGTGACCGACATTTCTGAAGTGGAGATGGAATCAACAATGGGAATAGTACTAACAGCTGCCATTGACGACACAGTGGCTACTCTAGGCCGGTACGATTTTAAGCACTTTCTATGAAGACATTCATTTAATCCCCACAACCACCTAAAAAGATGGGTGCTGTTATCAATCCCATTTTATCAATGAAGAAACCAAGGTAGAAAGAGCTTGAAAAAATGTGTTCAAGCTCAACCTGCTAGTAAGGCATCAAGCCATGGTCCATATTCAAGCAAAGCTTACATTTCCAATTTTTTTTCAGATGGATGTACAAGTAAACATGTACTTCAAAGGGAAGCACAACATTAAACTTGAGGAGCCGGACTCGGTGGCTCAGCCTGTAATCCCACGCCTTTGGGAGGCTGAGGTGAGTGGATTGCCTGAGCCCGCGGGTTCGAGACCTGCCTGGGCAGCGAGACCTCATCTCTACAATAAATCAAAAAATCAGCCGGGCGTGGTAGCGCATGCCTGTAATTCCGGCTACTTGGAAGGCTGAGGCGGAAGGATCGCCGGAGCCCAGCAGGTAGAGGCTGCGGTGGCCGGGAGTGGCCACTGCACTCCAGTCTGGGCGACAGAGTGAGACTCCAACTCAAAAAAAAAAAAAAAAAAAAAACTTGAGGAGAAAGTCAACAAGCAAGCCAGGCTTTTTTACCAAGTTAAAAATGCAGACTAAGCAGGAGCTTCAAATCATCGGTCAGAGAGCACTGGCATTCCTGCAAACACAAGAAAGATCTCTGGAGAAAGAAGATACATTTCACACACACAGTGGCCAATTACAAGAGTTCTCTTAGGAAAGGCAGATTTCATGCTTCAAGCACCCCCAAGCAGTAGAGTAATGGCTTCCTTTTGGCCCAGGAATCTCATAGACTTCTCAAGTCAGTGAATTTTAAGTAAGCTATTGGCACTGGTTCTCTTTCACTCCTTTCTCCTTGTTTCTTCCCTTGGAGAGGAGGAGAAAGGCCTGGTCTCATTTTAGCAGCTGTGACTCAGCTGTCTACTCTGCATGCCCTCACGAGGAATTTGGACAACCCTTTAGAGATGCCATTTACAAGTGAGAAATTGTTGGGAGAACTCGGATGCGTGCCTCTTTCAGTGAGCATCTCTTTTGTGTACTAAATATTTTTAACCCAGTTTATTTTAGTATCTACAACCATATATTTCCTCAGTAGTAAAGGGCATTTAATTTACTAGACCCAACTATTTAAGGACAGTAATTGTGTTTAAACCCGCCTACATCTCACTAAAGCAGGACACCGCAATGATATCCTGACCTGACTCCTGACAGAGTTCAAAGCATTCCCACAAAGGAAGAGAAACAAAATATCAAGGGTATCTATCAAGTGTTTTTCTGCATAGAGTGCTGCACAAACCAGGGCATAGAAGAACATTCATTTGTCCCTTTCTTCCATGAGATCCATCCTAATTTTCTAGGAGAATACAGGGCTCCACTTATTCTAAACACTCATTGATTTTATCTGTAAAAAAATAACAATAATTAGGTGTGAGGAGTTACAAAAGATTCTCAAGCCCACCGAGTACAAGTCTCCACCCACATAAGAATGTCCTCTAGAGTCTTAGGACAGATGGCCTCTCTGCACCCGCCCAGACATTTCTCACATCCTTCATCTTAAGAAAGGGCAGAGCCTCTGTGATATCAATGGTATTTCTCCACAATGTCTTTGAAATCGCTGGACTATTCAGATGGAATGGCATGACACTTTTGAGAAGCCAGATCTTCCCAAAAGCGACACCCTACTGAATATAAGATTGCCATTAAATAGCGGAATCGGAAATGACTTTAAGGATCATTTAAGCACAGATCACCCTAATCCAGGTTAGTTTAGTAGGAGATTAACAGG